TGTAGAATCTTACCTGTGCTCATTCGGACTTGAAAGTCAAGTTGCTAGCATTACTAGCAATATTCAGGCTTTGGTATATTATGAGCAATTTAGTTCTGGCCCTAAACTCACATACTTTGCTTGGCTAAGTTAAAGCCCTGAAATTGGCTAGACTTGCCGGTCCAAAGAATTAATTTAGTGACCAACAATGAGCATGTCTCTTGGGTTATAACTCCTCTTAAGCAATTTATAAAAGTTCTGCCTCTACTCACACGCTAACCCAGAAACTGGTTTGCAAACTTCAGTGTGGTCCTTGATATCTTGTGAACATGCTAATCAATGTTGGCTCTGCAGATCTGATGGGGCCTGAAATTCTGCATTTCTGACAAACTACCAGATGATGCTCTTGCTGCTGGTTCTTGAACCATTTAAGAAGTAGACCTTAGAAGACTTCTAATAAATAAAAATGGCTTTGTCTTCCAGTGATATTTCCATGCTCAGAGACTTTTAGTGCCTATCAGAATGGTGCTCGGGGCAACGGCGCAGCTGGTCTGCTGCTCAGTCTGGTGCTGGTTGTGATAATTAAGTTAATAACATATATGACAATGCTCTATGCATAATAAATGCACAATTAATGTTATTTTTGTCTAGTGGAAACGTAACTGTCTCAAATACAAACTGAATTACAGATGACAGAACTATTAAAATCATGTCTGAGTAAAATGTCTCGAGGACAATGGGCTTCTCCAGTGCGTGGATCAGTTAACATATAGTGCACTTTCTCTGCGTTCGGCATTACGTTAAACACTGAGATAATGGAAGGAGGGCTGCAGAATAGACTCTGCCCTCAAGGATCTCTGATACAGTTGAAAGAGTAAAAAAAATAAATATATAATTAAAGAGATAATATAATTAGCTGCTAATTTGGATGATAGCACGTTAATTACTATAGGGGATCAGAGGCAAGTGAGATCAATGAGGTCTGGCACTGAATTTTGTTCTACATCCCACTATCGGCTGCCCTGACAAGGGCAAGGAGACCAAGCTTAGCCACGGGCTACCTTGATTTCTCTATTTCCAGGCCAACTCGGAGTCCACGCACCGTGGACTCCACCTTTTCCCAGTGTATTGGTTCCTGCTTGCAGCGATGTCTAGGGAATAAATGAGGCAATATACCTATGCAACTGCATGATTTATTGACTATATAGACCTGTCAATACTAAGGAGAGACACTACAGGGCTGCAGTTCTTCAGATGTTCTTAAATATGCATGGTAGATAGAGACACTTTTTTCTCTTTTAAGAAAAAGTTTCCTTCCTGCCTCCACCCAGGTTACCGCTCAAGATTGATTTTGATCTCGGGCATTTTTAGTGCTTCATATCCCAGCTTTTTTTTTTCTTTCTATTTTCTTAAAAAAAAAATAAAATAAAATAAAAAGAGATTTGATAGCTAAGTCTACCTTGCTCGTTATCTCTACAATCCGTCTTGGATGATAATAAAATGCCAACTGATTTTCTTCTAAAAGTGAAGAAGTGTAATACTGTCAACATTATGCAAAAATAAAGGTCTGATATTTACTTTCTATCTAGTGGTTGGTTTAAGATGGCTTTCTAACGTTTTCCTGCTTTTATGATGTGTGCATGTGTGTGAGCATGTGAGTATACACACTTTCCCCTTGAATCTTTAGAAGTGGAGATCCTCTTTCTAGAATACCACTTGAGCTTGAATATAATCACACATTTTATTAATAGTGTTACTGCTCGTTGTTTTGTTTTCCTACCTGGCATAGTCAGGAAAGGCTTTTTGAAAGAGGCAGATCCTGGACTAAGCCTTAGAAGCTAAACAAGGCTTCAGAGGACCAACTGGGGCAGGGAGGTGTGACCAGATGCCAGGCACGGGGCAGCAGGGGAGCTCAGGGAGACAAGGACCTCTAACCAAAGCAGACAGTACATATCAAGATGAAGCAAATAACAGTTTTCATAAAATAAAGGAGGCTGTGGAGGAGATTTTAATTGCTGGCAACATTTTGGACTTGAGTCAGGAAAATAAAATCCTGAATGTTTCATTTCAGGGAGTAATATGACATAAATGTTAATGGAAAATGAAACTGAATTTATAAAAACAAGGGTATCGGGCTTAGCTGGCCTGGCTCAGTCCCAGGGCCTGAGAGTCCCGGTTCAATTCCCGGTCAGGGCACATGCCTGGGTTTGGGGCTTGATGCCCAGCAGGCGGCGTGCAAGAGGTAGTGATCAATGTATCTCTCTAACATTGATGTTTCTGTCTCTCTGTCTAAAAAAAATCAATAAAAACGTATTTTTAAAAAAAGTGTATTGGGGTAATTTAGGCAAAGTTTAAAACTAGACGAGGGTACAATAAATAAGAAGAAAGTAAATTACTGTACCTCCTTGTTGGTTTCACACAGCTAGGATGCAATGTTGCTATATGGAGGACAGACACCACCTAAGATGTCCAGCAACCACGTTACTACTTCTAGGACACCTTGGGTATGTGCATGTTTTTGAGACTGGAATGTCACAGACATCCCAGTTGTATTTATTTATTTTAGTTAATCCTCACTAGAGAATATTTTTTCCATTGACTTTTAGATAGAATGGAAGGGAGGGAGGGAGAGAGAGAAAGAGAAACATCCATGTGAGAGAGACATCAATTGGTTGCCTCTTGCACAACCCTGCTGACTGGGGCTTGGGATGAAACCTGCAACCCAGGTATGGACATCAAACCCTCGACCCTTTGGTCCACAAGCTAATGCTCTAACCATTGAACAAACCAGCCAGGGCACAAACATCTCAGTTTTAAAGAATCCAAGACAAATCTATGCTTTGGGATAGCTGGATAGCCAGATTCTTTGAAACACTAGATGAAGATCTTGACTTAATAGATTCTCAGCAACTTTTGATCATCTATCCTTCCATCTCCCACTTTTAGAAGATCCTCTGTAAGAATTTTGATTTTTTGTGTGTGTGTACTATGGGTACATGTAAGATATTTGTGCTTTAACAAGTCTTTGAATATATTTACAGTTCATTTACCTGCCAAAAACAAATGGTGACTCTAAACTCCTGACACTTTCTACCTTAAACTTTTCCTATAACATCACCAAACCGCTTGTAATTCAACACATACTCTTCTTGTGGCCTCTTTCTCATCCATGTATTCCGTCCCGCTCACCCGTTTGCCTGGGATTTCCTTCTCCACCCACTTTATCTAGGTCTCTAGTTACCGTTTAACAATTCATCTTTTCTAAAATAAAAGATACTCCTATTTTTATCTTTCTATTCTTTACCTCTTTAACTCCCATCTATCAATTAATTCTTAAATATCATCTTAGCGCTGACATCCTCTGACCTTCCTCACTGCGTTCCAGTCTGCAATTAGCTACTGCACTTGTAATTGTGTGCCCTGTTATCATTAAAATCATTACCATTGTAATTATGAATAGCTGTCTCATCAAGCCCCTTGAGCTGAAATTGGGAACTCCAATCTCATAGTGCAATTTCTTTAGTTCTTAATAATCCTTGACATACAAACTGTAAAGTTCTAGTATAAGCTCCAACTTGAGGGATTTTGGAAACAACTTTGTAGGATAAGATGATCAAAGCATAAAATTTTTCCCCAGAAAAACTTTTCAATAATCTATGAACAGATATCAATCTCCAAGGATAATTTCAGACAATAACTAGCAACTCTAGATAAATAAAATAGCAACATACATTTCGGAGGACACCGGAAAGGCAGTGCAGCACAGTGGTTAGGGTTCAGACTGCCTTATAGGTGTGCTCTCTTGATTAGAATTCTTACTCTAACAATCACTAGCTGAATATAACCAACAGGCAATTTACCTTTTCCATGTCTCAGTTTTCCCCTCTCTAAAATAGAAATAATAAGAACACCTACCTCCTGTAATTGTTATGATTCTATATGTCAATACCTAATCAAAGCATTTAGAAGATCATAGGACCAAGAATAAAAATTCAGTCAATATTTCTGGGAGAGATAGTGATGTTATTAGCAGTATTACTATTTTCCATGTGGAAAATGTATATTGTAAACCCAGCAATTTGGCAAACAGAGTATGTCCGAGGATCAAAGATCAAAAATGATTAAATTCACTGACATTTAATTTACGATTCTTAAAACTATATTTTAACAAGTTATTGATGATCATTATTGATTATCTTGTTATAGATTTGGGTAAAACAAGAGAGAAGCAAATATTTTGCCTAATAAGAACATATTTTTAATGTATTCAAAGGCAATACAATACAACAAAATTATATAAATACAGTTTTAAATACTATGAATCATTTTCTTTCTTCTTTTTTTTTTTTTTTTTTATCCTCACCAGAGGACATTTTTCCATTTTTGGTACAGATAGAGTGGGAAGGAGAGAGAGGAAGAGATAGAGAGAGAGAAACATCGATGTGAAAGGGACACATCGAGTGGCTGCCACCGCACGGCCAACCAGGGCCGGGGACAAACTGCAACCGAAGTACGTGCCCTTAGCGGGAATCGAACCCGGGTCTCTCCGGACCGCAGGCCGATGCTCTAACCGCTGAGCCAAACCGGCCAGGGCCTATGAATCATTTTCAAAGTGTGAGGCCAGAAGAATAGAAATATCGTGAATCTAGGAACTCTCAGAGTAAACAAAATTTTGTAATAATTTGTGAATGAGATATTTGAAACAATTGTTAAATAAACAGCAGTAGGAGTAGAGATAACAAAGTAAATGTAAACAACCAAATTTCCCCAGGACTTGCCTTTCTGATATTTCTCCACTTCACAAAAAAGGCTCCTGGCCTCAGGGTGCTGGAAACTGCTTATGAGCAGTCCAGCATTTCCCAGACATGCCGTGTTGACGTTCTCTCCTCTCTATCTAAGTATGCACAGGCTGGGGCCACACTGATCTGGCTGAATTCTTCTACCAGATGTTATCTCTCCAAGGTCAAGGACCAAGCTTTGTATCCTCAACTGCTATAAAGAAGAAAAAAAAAAGTGCTGCTTTGCTTTGGCAGCGTGTACACTAAGATCAGAAGAATAGAGAGAAGGTTATCATGATCCCAGCAAAAGGATAGTATGCAAATTTGTGAAGCGGTCCTTTTTTTTAGTAAGAGGTACAAATCTAATAGTTCCATTGCGAAGCTATTGTTTGGGGACAAGACCAGTATTAGTCCTATAAAGCATCTTGTAGGCTGCTCTTCTTTTCATCTTTTATTACATCTGTTCTGGAAGAAATATTCATTAGTGCAAATAAAGCTAGTATTACTAGTTAAAAGGAAAAAAAAAGAAAAGAAACAATGTGTATTTTGTACTTACAGATTTTCCTCTTAGGACTACATTGCACACTACTTTTTATGCATTTTAATTGATTTGGTTTAGTTGTGTGGTACTATGGTCAAGTATTTATTGAAAATCTATATTGATATTTGTGCTATAAATAATGGTCTCTTCCCTTGAGACTCTAAATAATTGAGAAGACAAAGCATATAAGAAAAATAATTGTGGATGGTCACATAAAAGTTCTAATTATATGGTGGTCATTTAGTAAGTCACTGATTCACCCAATAAAATTTTAGAAAATATTAACCATTTGCTAAATACTGTAGGATCTGAGAATAAAAAATGACAAGTGGTATTCCTGACTTCATAGAACTCAGATCCTGGTGAGGGAGAAAAACAGTGAAATGAGAAATTTCCATAAAACATGGAAAGTACCACAATAGGAAAAGTACACTGGACACTTAGAAGGCACAATTAAGCAAACCTGTAGGCTCCAGGGCAGATCCTGTTTTCATGAGAATGAAATTTGCTGCATGCAACAGAGACCTAAAGAATAGTGATATAAGCAAGATGGAAGCGTAGTTCTCTCATGTAAACATCAGGCAGTAGGTAGTTGCTCAGCAATGTTCTGTGAAACCACTGGGAGTCGGGCTCTCTTCCTGCTAGACCGTCCTAGGCCCTATCTCAAGGGCCAAGATGGCCACTCAGCCAATGGGAAGGATGAAGAGAATAGAAGGTGCTTTCTAGGAGTCACACACCACCTCCAGTTATGTTTCACTGGGCAGTAACATGACCCCACATAGCTCCGAAGGAGGCTTACAGGTACCAATCCAATTCTGACATGTTAAAGTTAAGGTTTCTATCACAAGGTACAGTCAGGATAAATGTGATTTAAAGGATAGCTTAAATATATTTGGAGAACAAAGAAATATGATAAATTTTCTCAACAAATAATCTGTAAGGACACCTTATCTTTTTAGTCAAAAATTTCAAATATTAAAAGTCAACTATAGAAAACCAAACCACCCAATTTAAAAATGGGTAAAAGACTGAACAGAGACTTTACCAAAGAAAATATACAGATGGCAAGTAAGCATATTAATATATGCTCAACCTTATCTATTATGAGGCAATTGTAAATTAAAATAATGAGATATGCCCTGGCCGGTTTGCCTCAGCGGTTGGAGCATCAGCCTGCAGACCAGAGAGTCCAGGGTGAGGTTCCAGCTAGGGGCACGTACCAGAAAAAAAAAAGAGAGACACTACTACACATCTATTATAATGGCCAAATCCAAAAATACAGCAGTATTGATTTCTGAAAAAGATGTGGAGCAACATAGACTCTGATTTATTGATGGTAGAAATGCAAAATGCTACAGCCATTTTGGAGGAAAGTTTGGCGATTTCTTATAAATCTGCACTGCCTTATACAACCTAACCTAGCAATCACCCTTCTAGACTGATTGAAATGCTATGTAATACAGAAATATACATGTAAAAGTTCATAGCCACTTTATTCATAATTATCAAAAACAGGAAACAAGTTAAAGTCCTTCCACAGGTGAGTCGATAAAATATGGTACCTCCATGTAATTAAATACTCACTGGTATAAAGAATTGAATTATAAAACCAGGCAATGACATAGATGAGTCTTAAATGGATGTTTCTATGTCAAAAAAAAAAAAAAAGCCAATCTGAAAAAGCTGCATACTGTATGAGTTCATTTATATTACATTTTGAAAAATATTAAACCATAAAGAGTAGTAAATAGATCAGTGATTGCCAGAAATTCTGGTTGGTGGGAGCCGGGTGTTAATACATGAAGCACAGAAAATATTATAGGGAAGTGAAACTCTGTATGATACAAGATATAATGTATTTGTCAAAACCCATAGATATATATCACACAAGGAATAAATCTTTTTTTCTTTCCTCTCACCAAGGACAATTTTGCATTTATCTTTAGATAGAGTGGGATTGAGAGAGGTAGGAAGAGAGAGACAGAAACATCAATGTGAGAGAGACACATCGAGTGGTCACCACCCATACGACCCGAACCGGGGCCGGGGACAAACTGCAACTGAGGTACATGCCCTTAGCAAGAACCGAACCTGGGACTCTCTGGTCCATGGGCCGACACTCTAACCACTGAACCAAACAGGCCAGGGCAGGAATAAATCTTAATGTATGCAAATTAAAAAAAAAATTATTTAGGAAGTCAAAGGGATCCCAAGATGGTATGCAGAATGTGTCACTGTACCTCTATTGCAAGTACATGAAATTACCTTATTGAAGGAGATAAAATAAAAGGTGCTGATTCAAGCTTTGAGGAATGAGTGAAATCTCTTAAGACTAAATCCAAAAGGAACTGTAGAAAAGCTAAGCACTACTCTAGCAGATACCATTTCCCAACAGGTTAACACTTCTGAAAACACAATACACATATACTACAATGAAGACATTTAGCAAGTAACCAAAGCTGATGTGAGCCAGGATTCTCACTGCTAGATGGGCGTTCAGGGAGGCAAGGGAAGGAGGCTGGAATGATGCATGGCAGTGAGTGAGAGATGGAAACTTTAGAATGCATTCATGTTTAGTTTAATATAGAAGATTACATATAGAAATATATGTGTGTGTGTGTGTGTGTGTGTGCATGCACACATGCTCACATGCATGTATTTCCTCGCACTTTCAGCTGGGAGGACCCTAGTGTCACTAAGAACAGATAGCACTCAATTCTTGATGACTGATACCATCTCCATTAAATGAAACCAAAGCTCCCTTAATAAATGGCTGATTCTAGAGCTGGAGCAAGAAATATATAATAGATGAGCCTGAAGCACCTTTAGTCCCAGAAAATAAGAAAGTGCTAAAAACCGAAAGCAAGCCTGGCCGGTATGACTCCGTGTTCAAGCGTCCACCCACGGACTGAGAGGTCTCAGTTTGATTCCTGGTCAGTGCACATGCCTGAGTTGCTGGCTCAGTCCCCAGCAGGGAATGTGAAGGAAGCAGCCAATTGATGTTTCTCTCTCTCCTTCTCCCTTCCTCTCTCTCGAGAAATCAATAAAAACATATTTTTAACAAATAGATGGATAAAAATAAAGACCAACAGCAAAAACAACAAAAAGCATTATGACTTTAAGAATTTATTTCATAAAAACATATAAATATAGTTTCATTAATTGTGACAAATGTGCCCCATTTGTAGGATATTAATACTAGATAAAATTGAATATGGAATATACAAGAACACTCTGTACTATCATTGCAATTTTAGTGTAAATTTTAAATAATTTTAAAATTAAAAGCTGTCTTTAAAAAAGATAACAGACTTAAATAAACTGCTTGAAAATAATCTAGACCACTAGAAGTGAAATAATTTTGAGTTTTCTGTTTATCCATGACTCCTATTAAAAATTTTAAAATGCTCACAATGGTTTTAAAATAAGTATTTATTTTTGTGTTAAATTCTATTAAGAAACTATTACATTAATAAGTACAGTTAACAAGGACAGCAGTGATATAACCTTGAAAATAATTAGAAAAATTTGGCCAAATTACCCAAAGGTTTAGGATTAGCTTCATGAATGGTTAATATGTGAAACTTACCACATGGTGTGTAATGGTTTCTATTATCACTAGTTGAAATTTGAGTGCTCATATAACTATAATGTAATATTTTATTACAGTCCATAATGGAAACATATTTTTTTATAATTTAATCTGTTTTATGTGTGAAAATCTCATACAGCAGAGGAACTGAATATAATATAAGTTTAGTATAAAATTTTACAAGGGACAACACATTTGAACTATTGAGAGAGAGGCATGCTAACTGGAAAAATGAATTGCCAACTGTTTTTCTCTCCTGCTGGTCCCATAGGAGATACAGCAAGCTGAGAAAATCCGGTAGCACTCTTGCCAAAGACTCTCCCATGTCATAGAAAAGATGCTCTGTAGGATTCTGTCTCAATGAAAGAGGTCAAAACAGGCCTTCCTTATAAGCACATATGTGTACATGCCATATAAGGGGGAGATTGTTAAAATGAAAACATACACCTAGAACACTTTCATTTCAGGGTATTTTTCTATATTAGGCCCTAAAAATAAAATGTACCAACATAAAAATCTGAAATCAAGACTTTAGTACATCTGCTATAACAATATTTATACCTGCTATTAATTATATGCCAGACAAAAGTGATCTATATACTTAAGGAATTTTTTGTAAAATTGAGTTTAAATTCAATTAGAACCTGACATATTGGTGATGATGGAAAAGGCACAGATGCTCAGCAATAATCTATGCGGAGGTATTAGGTGAAAGCTTAGGACTGGATGTCACTGCAGAGGAGAAACCATAGCTACAAGAAAGCCAAGTGCAGATCGTTAGGAAAATCCATCTTTAAGTGACATGAGAAAAAAGTAAAAGCAGAAATTTACAAAGAGCAATAAATTTAAGAATGGAAAAGAAGAATCAAAATTTAAACCTCAATTCCACTATTTTCTGTGTATGAACACTCACCCTTTGACCGTTTGTTCTGTAAACAAGGAAAATTAATTCTTATTTCATCAGCTCAAAAGAATATTAATGTGGTATATGCAAAGTGTTCATTTCAGTTCTTTTTTCAAAGTGAACATTCAATAAGTGTGAGGTTCTTTCCTCGTGAACGCTTATTTTCTTGCAAAGGAAAGTGAGTCATAGAAACTAACACAAAAATTCAGAAAAAATAAGTCAATGAGTAATAGTAAAATTCAGGAATACAGCACTGATCCTTTAAGAAAGGCATTAGATTTCCATGGTGCATTTTATGCAGGAACAACT